GTGAGAGACGTTTTCAGCTATATTTGCAGCATTTGACGGAATACGAATGCTTGAATATATATGCGGTTGCCATTTTTCCCCTACTTAAACTTATGTGAATGATATTGCGGTATAAAAATGTGCATTTACGTCTTTTGTTCGTCTGGCACGCACAGGACCGTGAAACTGTTTTGCAGCACCGAACTTATTATACCATACGTTGATAACCAAACCAAATTGGTACGAAACCAGGCTGTGTTTTATCTGCAACGTGAAACTGACTGCAATTCGTAATTTTATCTGTTTATTGAATTATTTGTTTTATAGTCCTGCCTCTATACGCACAAAGAGTTTGGCGAGTGGTCGAATGGTTGTGCGTTTGCAACAAAGTCTACTTGCAGTTGCTATGGCCCCGCCGCGGTGGTCTAGTGGCTAAGGTACTCGGCTGCTGACCCGCAGGGCGCGGGTTCAAATCCCGGCTGCGGCGGCTGCATTGCTGTATACTATACTGTGTCGCAGCTGCGCGCAAAGTTCAGTTGTGCTATACCCGCTCGTCATTCGTTTCTAGAGTTGCAAGTGACGCGTGGTTGTGCTCGCCCGCAAGCGAAAGCGCGCTCATTTTCTTTTTTCTTATTTCGACAGTGATTGTATGGACAGTCTCGATGGGTTTTCGACGCCGCCTTCATGTCCCGTATGAAGTTCAATTCGCTGAAATCCCCCAGCGCAACGTACGTTTTACCCGCGGGTAATAGCGCGCGAGCGGGAGCGACGATTGCCTCCAAAGCATGCACATATCAAACGAGCAGGCCCATCTCCGTCGCTCGCAGGACGCATAGACCGGCCATCGAATTCTCAAGCAGGGAGGCAATGCACCGCCCATTTTTAACAAGTATGAAAAAAAAAACGCGAGAGTTGGGGGTGGCGGGGGGTGAGGTTACTTCGAGCAACAACTGTGAACTTCAAATTTAGGGGCGCAGCCGCCATCGCTATCTCTATCGCTATCTCTGTAACGCAATTGCTACTTTTTGGCAGTCATTAGCCTGCTGCTTGCGCTCTCAACGCGAAGAGGTTGTGCGAAAAGTGCCTCTGGAGCGGCCGTATTCTTTTACCGTATTCTTGCCGTATTCTCTTGCATTGGTGCGTGACATCGACTCCAAATCTGCCAGCCTCACTTCGTATTTCATTACAATTTGTTTCTATCGCATTCACTGTGTCGCCCATGCGATAAAACTTCGACTTTTTTTTTTCATTTGGTTGGACAGCAATGAAGCTAGTCAGATATGTATAGAGATAAAAAAAAGTTTAGAGAAACGGAGAATGCTAACTGCAGTAAGCTGCTCATAATTCCCATTTGTTTTTCTTTTGCACACATGTGTGCCTTCGATGGCGCGATGGTTGTTCGAAGCCTCGCATGCATTCGCGCAAGGGTGCGAATAATTGTCGTCGCACTGAATGCGTTGCGCAGGCCCCGGTGCGCAGCTCTTTAACGTTGGCCGCGTGGGTCTGCACGGCACCAGCGTGTACCGGGCGGTACATGCCATGTGCGGCTCGTGTCTGCTCAGCGTCGTGCTGTGTTGGTACCTGAGCCGAGTGTGGCCGCACAGCTACTCGTTCCCGGAAAAGTTCTACTTCTTCCTTCAGGTGAGTAGTAATGCCGGTAAGCGCAAAACTTACACAATGCTTGCATTGACATACCTATTCACATCGTATACAGTACGCTTCGTTTTGAAAAAAAAATCCACTTTGTGTGACTAGGGATGCAATAGGGTGAGCGAAACGAGGCCCTAAATAGTTTGTAAGGAAACCCACGTGAACCAGAAGAGGCGATCAACGGTAGACTGGTATTGCTGCAGGGATGGGCAACGACTCACGATCATGTGCATGGAACTAAACGAAAGTAAATTTGCGGTTATTACAATAACGCGGGAAATCCAAATTTTAACAAAATTGTTCTTCTAAATTCGTGCATAAACGAAGCTAACGTTCGTGTCACAGCCGCCGCTGTAGTTTGGTATAGGTATGGCGTAGCGCTGCTCAGTTTAATGCCAGGGGTTACATCCTGGACGAGGTGGCCCCATTTAGATATAGGAGCGATGAAATGCTAAAGTCCACAATGCGCTTAAACTTTAATGCACGTTACGAAACACTAAGTGGTCAAAATTAACCCGGGGTACCCTATACAGCATTTTTTTCAGGTCGTAGTTGGTTCCAGTGATGTGAGTAAAATTCCAGCAATGTCATAAAACTATCGGCCAATATAGAAGCTGGCAGCATTCTGAAAAGCAATGACGCCTGTGCACAGGCAAACACCTGTGCATGTCCTCTAAGTAATAAACAAATAAACAAAAATAGAATTTTCCACCCGAAAAAGTGCACATCCTCCGAACTTTTCGTAGCGAAGGGATCCAAAAGTGATGGCTGATTTTTATCATCGCCCTACCTTCGCTTCTTTCAAGAACAAATCTTATCTGCAGCGACAAGGAATTTGTATTGGATGTGTTGCGCCTGTTTTGTGCATCATTTTTTCTATTAGGCGTTGTAACAATAACAGACCCTTTGTTATTCAAGACTGCAATTTCTCAGCAATGTTTGTAACTATACGCAGTTTCCATCATCTATCTTTGTCTTGTATGTGCTTGAATTCTTACTTATACATTTTTAGTTGATTTATGTTGCCTTCGTGATTTGCGCATCTGACACTTGTTTCTTTTCTTTGTCTTTTTTTCTTGTCTTTATTCCTTTGTATGTTATAAAATGTTGTACCCACCCCCTCTGTAATGCCCTACGGGCCCTGAGGGTATTATAAGAAATAAATAAATAAATAAATAAATAAATAAATATGATTTTAGATAGTATTTTTGATACAAGTAGTGTTCTTAAAGTAGCTTCCTAGAGCTTCTATGTGGACGATTTCGTAATTCTTTCAAAGAAACCCCATTTTATGACCTTAGACAAATCCAATGATGCTATTATAACGCTTTTAGATAGTGTGGAAAGGGCTTGACCTTCAGCTATAAATTTCCCATTGATAACTTGCCGCACTTCTTATATCTACGTCTTCTTTTAGCTGATAATTTTATGTTTGCGTAATAGTGCCCGGGCGCAGAAGTTCGCCGCATGATTCTGCGCAGTCTAAGCTTGTGAAGAGGGGCATCGCCAAACTATGTCTATACGTTCCGCTCTCACGAAATCACGCCCACATGCTATGCAAGATAGCTTTAGTGATCAGGTTGGGCGTCCATTTGCTGCCGGTTATCCTTGCACGTGACGGCAATCGCAAAGGTTCTTCTGTGTGGTGCTAAAGCAGCCCGTTACGGTGGGAACCTTGGCCGGCATCGCAGGCGGCGCCCAGTTGTGGTGCCTCATCTACATCGCATATCCCACAACCTAAAGAAGATAGCACGTGGAGAAGGTCTTTTACGCTCCGCGTAAGTTGGCTGGGCTTTGTCCCAGAATCTCCTCTGGCGAGAAGAAACCCGATGGTTGCGAAAAAAAAATTGTCCCCGTATCTGCATCTTAATCTGTAAATGTCGTCGAAAGACGATAGTCTTGCGTGTGGAGAGAGTGAACAAAACATTTAGTTGATGTTCTGCGCAAGAAAATTGGTGAATGGTATTCCGGAGGCGCTGCGTTAGGACACCTTGAGCGTGCAGCGGAGGCGAACAAGCGCATCAAGTCACGCCACACGTGAGACATGAGCGCCATCTGGCATTTCCTTTTGAAAAAGAAACCGCGTGGCCGTGCGCGCCCGTCTCAGAGGTGATAAGGTGTAGAACGCGAGGCGACGGGTAGGTGCCACCACCATCTCGTCTTAGCAAAGCGTTGGAAACACTCCCCGTTCCGTGCAAGCGTTGCATGGTAAGCGCAGCATGATAAGCGCTACGGTCCTTAAAATTACCTATGCATGCGTTTTATAGTAAGATATGCATATGCAGAATACATACGTGTTGTTATGGGGCCCCAGACATGCGTAATAATTGGTTTTTTAATGGACACTTGCACAAGTATGAACGCTGAATCTTGAGCAACATTGGCGGGCGCTGCGGATGGGGTCGGCCGTTTCAAGTATCAGATGCCGGTAAGAATGGACAAGCAGACAAATGTACAGACAGACAGACAGATCAAAATTTTTGCGTCGAAAGTCCCTAAGAAAGACTATCGTCTTTAAAAGCACGCTTCGACCGTCGCATGCAAAATGCGTGGCTGGCGTCGTTCACGAAATACCGCTGTCTTGTGGGAAATCTTACGTCATGCTGCGTGAACAATTATGCAAGAAAACACGACCTTTCAATTAAAAGTAACGGGAACGCGCATTTGCCTCTGCATTGCCAAACGTGCATGTGCTCACCGATTTTCATAAGGATTAAGATATCAGCAGCGGTGATACCACAGCACGCGAACTGATGCAGACCTTTTACATATCTGCAAGTGGTAATGCTTGTCTTAGCGACACGTCTGCATCTTTATTTGCGAGCGAGGGTAAATGTTTGCGTGCGTTCTTGTGATCCGCTTGGTCATGACCATGTGACCACTTTCTTGCTTGCACATGACTTTCACATGCATGAGCATACATTAAAGGGTGACGGAAAATAAGCCAGTTCAAAGTTTGCGCCTGTCCCTGTTCTTTCGTCGTGTGTTCCTGTCTTTGTATGCGCACACCAGTTAACCTTCACGCACGGGAGGTAGTGGGCCTGCCACGCTAAACGTCTGCCTCCCCCTCCCCTCCCCCCAAATGAAGAACATTGCACACAGCCATGTTGACCAGCATGCCTGCCGCTCTCCACGCAGCCGTCGTACTGGGGCATCTGGCGAAGCGTCAACCTCCCGGAGGAGGGCCTGGGTGATATCAAAGAGAATGCGACGCTGTTCGAGCCGTCGCGCGAACAGAAACAGGCGCACCTCGTCATCTACAAGCTGAGCAAGGTGAGCCCTTTAGCGTCGCACCTTCATGTGCACAACGAGGAACGGCAACTATCCTATGCCGTGCGAGTATACATTGATTGCGTTGCTCTGGTAGAACCATGATCGTACATTTTACGCTTCCTTCAGTATACCAGAAGCCTCGACGACTGAGTGAAAGTATACTATGCATTATGGTCATTTTTCTTCCCGCAGGTCACTGATCCGTTGTACCTGAAGCATTACATCATTAACAATGTGACGATTAAGTGTTTCATAGACAGCATAACAGTGATATTGGGAAGAAACGGGTGCGGAAAATCGGTGCTCATCCGCATGCTGGCAGGTAAGTGGGCCGAACCGTCTTGACGGTCGGTAAGTGCTATCACTATAGCCGTGAAAGCAACTTTTGGGTAGTCGTTTTGACGGCTAATTAGTGAAAACTAATTAGTAAAAACTAATTAGATGGTAATCAATATAGTGGTGCTAACACTGAGTTTTTAAAAGTGATTTGTTAAAATTTATAATTCAGAATAATAATATATATTATTGCGGTTTAACGACCCAAAACCAGCATATGATTATGAGAGGCACCGTATACGGAGGGCTCTGGGAATTTCGACCACCTGGGGCTCTTTAACGTGCACCTAAATCAATGCACACGGGCCTCACGCTTTTTTGCCTTTATCGAAATAGCGGCCGGGATACCACGACTTGCGGGACAGCAGTGGAGTGCCTTAGCCACTATAGACAAACCGTGGCGGGTCTAAATATTGAGTGACAATTTGCTAAGGTTGATTCGTGAACGTTGGGCGTCGATATGACGTGCACGGTAAAAGAGCCGCACCGCATGGCTTTCACCTTCGAGTAGACTTAGGCGAATGCAGGACCCTGTGAGTTTTATTTGTTCGGCCCGCTCACAGATGTACAAGAACAGAAAGAAAAAATAGTCAGGTGCACCCTATGGTATAAAACTTGTCGTTTAGGTGCTGACCAGAAGAAAACAGTGACACTAAAGTGAGAAAATGAATCAGTTTAGGCTGATAATGCTCTGAAAACTCTATCATTAACTTTAGCTCTATAGTAGAAAAGAAAACCAAGAAGAAAGATTCATTTGTAAATTTTGCGCCGAAATTTCTGCACGTGACGTCAGAGATTTTAAACGGCCTATTTTTTCGTATTTTGAGCTAAATTCGTTCAACCCTAAAACTCGTGTGCTACATCTGGTACCCGCATAAGATGATACAATACATACGTGGGAGTGCCTTTGAAATCAGTGACGCAATGGCGTTTTGTGCTGGAACCGCAAGGTGGCGTCGCCACCGGCTTCTTGCTTTAGCGCGTTATCTTCCTTTCTAAGCGTCTTCATTTAGAAATAAGAGAGAAATCGCGTATCTCCCCTTTATCTGAAAGTCGCGAAGCAGTCCATCTTCTTTCTTTCATTCAAAGGTGCCATAAAGCCGTCGTCGGGGACGGCGTTCTTCGATGGTGCGGACATGCGCACGAACGGCTCCAAAGTGCGGCCGCACATCGGCTACTGTCCTCAGAACAGCACCCTCATTCCCTTCCTCACCGTGGAAGAGAACCTGCTGTTTATCGCATACGTGAGTCATATTTATAACGTCCACATCTATATGCGCTACTCTCGAAACGAACCGCTTTTATCACAATAAGCACCGCGCAGAAGGCTACTAGAATCGGAATATCAGAACATCAGGAGGAACGTTCGTCAACATATCAACATATCATTGTATATTATATGCCAGGAGATCCTATGCGTCATCCAAACATATTGTTCACGTCGTTTCCGGCTGGCCCCCGCATAACTTCCATATAGGGTCCAACTAAAAAAACCCGATGGTACGTCGTAAGTGTGAGACCACTTCCGCATTTAACGTTGCGAACCGGCCTTCCCGACTTGCTTCCGGGACGGCCAAGGCTACACTATAATAAACTAAGACGGTGATGTTAACCTTTGACATGGCTTGGCTTGGTATACTTGGTGGCTTTACGATTGAACTGGTCACCAGAAGCAGTGAGGGCGTTATTTACGACGCATTTCTAGATGCAGCCACTAGAATCACGACGTCCGAGAACTGTGTTTTTCATCTAAATATGGCGCCTATTTATATAGTGTGTTTTGGGTGCTGAAAATTTCTTCCGTTGACGACGGCGTTGTCACTTGCGCGATTCTGTCGGGAAGCGATATCGTAGCGGAGTGTGCCTATGCTGTAGTCAATGAAGACGAAGTTGAGCGGGTGTAGCAGGTGCCGAAAGAGTTGTCGAAGCCAGTGGCCTTATCGGCTGTAACAGCGTGGGATCAGCTTCGGAGATTCACGCGCAATGACGACGCCGAAAGCCGCGTGGCCCTGCCGGTTCTCAAGAGGCTTACAGAAACAACGCGAAAGACCAGGACACTAAAGGCGCACACACAACCACACAAATTATTGTGCGACTGTCTGTAGTGAACTGGTCTTTCGCGCTGTTTCTCTAAGACATGTTAAACCAACTAGCCGATAAGTTGACCCTTCTTGAGAGGCGTCTTGTTACTAATTGGGCTACGCCGTCTTATTTCTTCAAGAGAAATGTTTTAAATAAAATTGTGTGCTTCTCGCCACTACTCCGGTTTTACATCTTGTTCCCGTTTCTAGGCTTCGACGTTTCCCGGCTCTGCCCCGTTTTTTTCATGGTTCCGGATAAAAGTTATCAGCTGGTTTTACCGTAATATGAGTGGACAATGTGAATAAAATGGTTCTTGCACTAAAATTTTAAACATCATATGAATATAAATATCTTCCAAGACCCTTTGCCGTTCACTATAAAGCGTCTGCGCTTTCGGTTGCAGTTGCGCGACGTCCTTCAGCCTTCGGAGCGAGACTCTATTCAGGGGGAAGAACCTCGATCTGCTCAGATAGACGACCTGATATTGACGCTCCTGACGCAATTCCAGCTGATCGATCAGAGGGAGAGCCTCGCGAGCAAGATCACATACGCCGAGCAGCGGCGTCTGCAAGTGGCCATGACCTTGCTTGATAATCCACTGGTGAGTCCACCATGGCCATAGCCCACTTGCACGTCCGATGAAATAATAGATTTGCGATCGACGTACCGTACTCATGAAAAAAAAATCGCATCATCTCCCACTGAGGAGAACCATATGAGGATGTGAAGCAGCGCTGCCGTTCACTTGTGTTTCAAGTTGCTTCCATTTGTGTATTTCCTTGTATGTTTCATTTGTGTGTAAAGTTGTGCATATGTTGTGTACCACTTATGTTACCCCCTCCCCCCTCACATTTGTTCGTCTTACCACGTGTGGGCCACAAAGTGAACACCCAGCGCTGCTAGGAGAGTGAAACAGAGCGAGCGCGCCCAGCATTATATACGAGCACACAGCTGTGGCGGAGAGGTAAATGGGAGAGGAAAAACGAAGTGGAGAAAGCGTTCTACCACCTCCTCCACCCCACCTAGCTCCTTCTGCCTCCTCGTGCGAAGAGAGGGGGGGGGGGAGAGTTGGCGCATACGCAGGGGGGAGAGCGGACGGTCACCGAGGGACAGACACAGCCCCGAGCAAAAGCCACTTCGCATCTAAAAAAAATAACGTTGCGAATTCTCTTACGGGGAAACGGGCACCCTTAAGATGGTGTAATTATGTGGCGAAGCAAAGGTAATTTCTAATGGTGATATGCCGCAGTGCAACAAGGTTGTGTGATGAAGCATACAAAATGTACAAATGCGAAGTGTGCATATTGTATTGCGATGGATCACCAAGGTTGAAAAAAAAAAGGAGATGCTTTCACACGCCTGATACGTTTTGCACGCGCACACCTCTTATCCGTACAAGGCTTGCTTGTGTACTTGTGCTTTGTTAAGGTGTGTTATTAGACTTCAATGTAGGTGACTCCCGTGCTTGCTTTGCAATCGCGATCCGGTACCGCAGTGTATAGTTTGTACGCGTGAGAGAAAGAGAGAGAGAAGCAATGATTGAGAGCAAAGTAAAAGTTTGAAAGACGGTTAGAGAAGTCTGTGGATGGGGCCCCGATTGGCGAGCGGTAGCCGGTCGAGCTAGTGGTCGAGCTAGAGTTCCTATACGCGTGACGGTATTATCAGTGCCATTTCGACAGTGGCATATCATTTACGTCTCGGCTTAGAGTTCCTCTGAGATGACGGCAGGTGCCCGACTGCCATGACACTTATAATGCTGCCCGATTCAAGACTGGGGACATTTGTGAACGTGTATTTCTACACGGGTACTGCTGAATTGGCACGATTGTTCCGACTCATATTATATTCAGGGCAGCGATGTCTCGGCAGAATGTGACTTCACACTCTCCCCATTTCGATGCTGTCACGTTTTGTGGCGGCTGAAACGGGAAGGGGGGTGAAGTACAGTGCTGGACAAAAGTTCGCAGGCCACGCTTCAAAAGGAATACATAGGATAATGGCCTGTAAATTTTTGCCCCCCCCCCCCTTTCCCAATGTACTTAACATTTGCGAACTCTCAGGGCAAACGTAAGGAAGCAACAAGTTTCAAGAGATTACGTGCCTGATATAGTTATTCAGAGCTGCGAACACGTCCGTGCCATGTATAGCCAGACATTCGGGCTCGACATGGTACACGGTATACCACCTGTATCGAAACAAGGCACGCTTGTCGTGACTAGCTTGTATTGAGCATGACAAATATAATGACTTGCTTTCCTAGTCGCACCTTAACCTAATGTCTACGTGCCCACCCCCTCCCCTATTTTTTTTTTTTCAGTTCGCCCTCTTCGACTGCCCTACGGAAGGAATCGACACGGACTCTCGCAATGTGATCTGGGACGCCATACTCAAGTCCCGCCCCCAGACAACGGTGGTGCTCGCCACGAACAGCAGCGACGAGGCTGAGATTCTGGGAGACCGCATCGCCATCATATGCAGGAGCCTGATTAGCTGCTGCGGCTCGGCCATACCTGCGAAAGAAATATGGTTGGCGGGCTCTTAAGAAATGCGCAGAAAAAACAGTAGCTACGTATCGGTATATCGATCCTTCTAGACAGCGCCTAATTAGAGTCAATTTAACGAAGAGAAATGATATAACTTTTGTACCAACGCGGTCACGTTAGTGTACGCGTTGGTTTTGCAAACGGCCTGAGAAAAAGGGTATATACTTCAGGACGTGGCATATATGCCATTCTGTCCTCTGTGAACGTGTTGCAGTTTATCAACGATACTTCGTTTTCATTGCGGTTGTATGGAATCCTTATGTTCACTTGTATATTTTTTTATTCTCGTCTTTATTTTCTTATTTTCTCTTTATTTTCTTTATTCGCGTCTTATTAAAAAAAACTGGAGCTCTGACTAGAAACTCTGGCCACGAAGGTTGCTTCTTTTAACCGTGTCTGTTACATAAAACATTCACAATTAAAGTTGCTGCTGTGGATTCAGACCACAATTACTCTGCTCTTCGAGAAACCCCGCGGGGTCGGAATTGCCGGATCCCTTTTCTACGAATACCTGATAATAATATTGGGCGTTTGTAAAGTAAAACCCCGATAACTATTATAATTTTTTCTTTATATAAAGCAGTCATCCTGAGACCTCCATTTCTTTACTGTGGTAAAAGTTTTACCGTGCAGGAAGAGAAACGAAATAAAAATGTCTGAGAGGAAGCGTGACTCCAGGCAACTAGCCTTGACAGCCTTTTGTGACAAAGAGGCCTATCTGGTTTACTCTTTTGTTGTATACGTTACATAAGTTCCGGTCATTCAAAGGAGTTGTTTGGGGTCTTTTGCGCTCTCGTCCCAATCACCCGTCGGCATTCCCATCTCTTCCGCGCAAGCCTCTTGGCGGTTACATTACCCTATCTCGCTGTGAAGGCCTCCTTCCCACTAGCATTTCTTTTCTATCTTTTATGACAACAATGCATTACCTTATAACAAATGATTACCTACGTTACTGTGCGCGTCGTTTACAAACTAAGTTGCTTGCACAACAAGGTACCTTCTAACGCCCCTACAGCAAAATCACCTGCATAATGAAGTGTTTTGAAACTTTTAAGCACCTATTTATAAAGACATTTTGTTCTAGACTTGACGTTTATTTCTATTCATTCTTTTGAAGGACCTCCAAACCACATCCGTAATTTTTTAACATTTCAATCGAACGTGCGCTGAGTACAGAATGCCGTCATGCCCAACAATGCCAAACGCGGCAGCGCTATGAGCCGTGGGCGCGGCCAAAAGCCATGCCACGTCTTCTTCGGACTTTTCATTATCTTCAGCGTTGGCCGTGACGTCACCACTCGCGTATGGTCATGTCAGGAACAAAAAGAACCCGTCTGCTCTCACCTATGCGTGCTGGCCGCTCTCCCTCCTGGCATGGCGAGCAGGAGCAGCTCCTTCGGCATGAGAAACGAGTCGATAAATGGACCATAGAGAAAAAAAGAGCGAAGCAAAACGTTTTCTTGGGCTAGTTTCATTCATGGATTCTTGAAAACTTCCAAAATATTTCTCCTTCAAGAAAGAGCAAAAGCCGCTTTTGGACGATCAAACGCGTGTAAATCCTCTATTACGGCACCGTTTCAAACATTTCGCAGCTACGTGTTCGTTGATTATTCGCGCTCAACGAAAACACTACTAAATTTTGAACTCTGAGTGGCATAGGGGCTCTTCAAAGGGACGCTAAAAAAACATATCTCTGCTAGAAAACTGGAATTGTGCGATACCGAAAGCGCCACTTTTATCGCAATATGATGCTTTGTAAGCGGAAGAACGCGCAGAAAGAAAAAGTGGCGACGCCAGAGTGAAGTTCCTGCACAAGCTCACCGCGGCTACATTAATTATGACTGCGTCTTCGGGGGCCTACGTATTCATTCATCGGTAAAAGTTGCTCCACTGTGTTCGAAAGGATTGGGTGTTTTAACATAGCAAGCTTCAGAAAATATTATTGATCAAGCACGGCAAAACAACGCAAAAAGAGTCTTAAATACATGACGTTGCACTGACATTCACGTACTGGAGTTAGGGCTCGAAATCGAAAAAAATGAATGTCCTACTTTGATTTCGTGACGGTAGAGTTCAGATTGAATAACTCATCTGTCTAAACTGATGGTCCCCTATGGTGACTTTCACGTCGAAGTCAATGTTCATCACAAGTCGGGATATGTGCGGTGTTTCGGTGGGCTATACACTAAGAAAACTGACTAAAAATGTTGGCCCCGTATCTGCATGTTACACCGCAAATGTCGTCGAAAGACGATAGTGTTGCATCGGCGACGGGTAGGTGCCACCACCGTGTCGTCTTATCAAAGCGTTTAAAACACTTGCCGTTTCGTGCAAGCGTTGCATGGCCAGCGTGGCCCCGCCGCGGTGGTCTAGTGGCTAAGGTACTCGGCTGCTGACCCGCAGGTCGCGGGTTTGATTCCCGGCTGCGGCGGCTGCATTTCCGATGGAGGTGGAAATGTTGTAGGCCCGTGTACTCAGATTTGGGTGCACGTTAAAGAACCCCAGGTGGTCAAAATTTCCGGAGCCCTCCACTACGGCGTCTCTCATAATCAAATGGTGGTTTTGGGACGTTAAACCCCACAAATCAATCAATGCATGGCCAGCGCAGCGTTATAAATGCTACGATCGTTAAAATTACTTATGCATGCCTTTTTTAGTAAAAAGATACATATACATATTACTGACGTGTTGTTATGGTACCTCAGATATGCGCAATAATTGCTTTTCGATTGACAATCGCACAAGTATGAACGCTGAACCTCGAACAATATTCGTGGGCGCTGTGGATGGAGTTGGCCGTTTGGAGTATCATTTGGTCACTTTGGTGCCGTTTAGGGTATCGTTAAGGGTGGACAGACAGACAGACAGACAGACAGACAGACAGACAGACAGACAGACAGACAGACAGACAGACAGACAGACAGACAGACAGACAGACAGACAGATAGATAGATAGATAGATAGATAGATAGATAGATAGATAGATAGATAGATAGATAGATAGATAGATAGATAGATAGATAGATAGATAGATAGATAGACCAAAATTCTTGCGTCGAAGGTCCCCAAGAAGAATTATCGCCTTTAAAACTGGCAGGTCAGGGCTACCGGATGCAGCTGGCCGTGTCTTCCAAGTGCGACAAGTCGCTCGTGTGCTCCTTCGTCGAGAAGCGGCTCAAGACGGCGGAGAAGGTGCTCGAGCGGCGCAACACGATCGTCTACTCGCTCGGCTTCACCGCCGCCGACGACATCGTGCGCCTGCTGGAGCAGCTCGAGGACAGCCGCATCAAGCTGCGCGTCAGGAGGGTCTCCATCAGCGCGTCCTCGCTGGAGGACGTCCTTCTCAGGTACGGAGCCCGATCGCAATATGGTCGAATCGGGGAAGAAAAAGTTTGATATAATTCGGTATGAACACTTTAAAAAAGAGTTTTCGTATTTTCGGTGCTATAGTTTTGGTGCTCAAGTTGGCTTCACGAGACTGCTCTACAATAATGCATGTATAATAAAGAACGGAGACAGTCAAAACTGTTATCCGAGACCAGGTAGGAGCGTAGGCCTAGCTAGCGAAATCAGCGACAGTCCGGGCCGAGCGTCTCGTGCTTAGCACTGACAATGTGTTTGCCGAGATTTGCATGATCCACTACATTCATCATTACATATTTCCCCCTCGCTGAAGATGGTGCCAAGTAAGTGTCCTAAGGTGTCGTGAGGACAAGTGGTTCGTGATATGGTTTGAGGCGATCCACATGTACGATTTCGCGGCCTCGGCGACGCAGGTCCACAGTAGCCGTGAAAGGTTCGATGAGGTAGTTAACAGCGGAAGTTTCCTCTATGACGCGATAAGGTCCATGGTACCTGCTGACACATGAAAGGCGGCCAGCCTTGTACAACACACGAGGATATATTTTTTTTAGTTTTTATATTTGCATGGTACTTAGCTGGCGGAAGGGGGGTGGTGGTGGTATATGCGGCTTGTATGCGAGATGTAGTGTCAATGCTGCCCCTTTAATCACACCGCTCATTTTCCCATTTTCTTCAAGTGCGTGCGGAAAAACCCTCTTCCGTGAAAAAAAAATCTAAAAGGGAAGCCAACTTTTTAGAGCGATTCGCACTGCCAGGTGTTCTGACTTCACGGATATTTTTGTTGTACGTAGCCGTAAAATGTTTTATGCATTTACGTTGAAGCATTTTCGTCAATATTTGGACATACAGGATAATTCTATTTATCCGAGTTCGTTATAGTCGGCTTTTACTGTTCTCCTGGCTCATTAGTGTAGCCGTAATTAAACTACGCACTGTTTGACTAACAAGGCAGGTTTTGCCGTGAGGTGACGGAAGAGTTTGCATGCAAATAAATTCAGCTTAAGTTAACCCACCACTGCACAGGTGTGTGTACATCGTATGTTGGTACTGATTTTTGCGATCAGCCGAGATGGTCCATATAGTTGGCAATAATAAAAATAAGAACTGTGGTTGTATGCGCTAATTTGCATTTGTCTTACCTGTATGCCATTCTTAGCGCCGCTTGCGGGCAGGCCGGTAAAGGTGGTCACTCGTGTGGTTCATACGAATTAGTCCAGTGATGCTTTTGTGACCGTCACATCAGTCGGCTTACGCGTGGCCTTCATGCTTTAAATTCGGGTGGTGTTTCTATCCGATCGCAGGCTGGACGAGACACTCGAGAAGGAAGAAGGCAGTAGTTTTACGGAAGAAGACAAGAGTAAGGGACTATGCTACCATTCTTATTTTGACATGGACGATGAGAAAGATAGGCAATCTTATGCATGTATATACATTATGTCTAAAACGCGTAAGAATTTCTATGCCAACGCGTTGGGAAAACCACCTGTCCCTTTGTCCCTCCTGAAAGAGCTAGTTTGACAAAGCTACGATTTCATGTAATGGTATGGGCACTTCGTCAAACTAGCTTCATGTGATGGTTCCTTGGTGTCCCCACTCGCCCAAATAATGTTCCTAGCTAGGTGCCTGCGTTGCAACT